TTGGTAGAGGGCTTCGAGCTTGCCTTGCATAGCAGCATCTTCCACTGCGCTAGACACGGCAACAGGTACGGCGGGCTAAAAATAAATAAACCATCAATTTACACTTCATTTAAATACTTACTAGACATTTATGTGAATAAATTAGCTATTTGTATTATTAGCTGGAAACTTTTTTAAGGATATCACAAATAGCAAACTTTTCATTTGTTACTATCAATGTTACTGTTTACATGTATTAACTTATGAATACCACTTATTGAGGTATTACATAAACTATTGATGGTGCACAATTGTCAGTGAATGAATGTGACATCACAATAGATGTTATTCAAGCAATTCATCTGTATCACATAGATTTCAACAATATCTCTATATCAAATAAGAATCCTTGGAATAATGAATCATCACTTACCGCCGCAGGTGGTTTCTCTTCAATGAATGATGTAACAGGAGTAACCGCCTCAATTTCTTGCAGGTTAACTTGTTCCTCGATGCGTACGGTCTCGCCTGAGCGCCAGCGGTTCAACTCCGCCTCCAGTTTTTCAACCTAAAATTAAAATGAACATGACATCAATGCAATTCAAAAAATATTTCAAAAACGTAAGTATACAAACATACTGACCTTGCCCTTTAACCTCGCCACCTTCTCCTTTTCTCTCTCATAACGACGTTTCCATTCTTCTGCAGTGAGCTCCTCGTTAACACATACCACATTCTTGACAGTTTTGGCTCTGTAAATTTTCATTGTGTGATTTAGAATATTGCTATATAACATGTATGCACACTGTATGCTTCGATATAACAATAGAAAAGCTCTAACCTTTTACCAAAGTCAAGTGTACTCTTGGTCTCACTTTCGTTGAACGAAGCAGGGGAACAACAGATGACGATCGTAGTTCTAGCGTTACCACCGAGTGACTCTTGTAGGATACGAGTCAGTTTCGAGTCTCTGTATGGTATGTGTGATTTGTTACCGTCGGCTAACGCAGAAATGACGTTACCCAGCGCTGATAGTGATTTGTTAATGTTTTTAGCTTCATCAAGGACTGTTCCTTCAGCACCAGTTTTAGATACCTATTAAAATATTATTCATAATAAATGCAAGTAAATAATTAAACAGGAATACTAGAAATATAATTATAATTAATTTATTGGAATTGTTATAAATTATGAACAACTACTGAATGTTGAATTTATAAACATAAATGTCTTTTTATATTAGTAGAACATAAAATTACCTTTTCAGAACCAGCCAAGTCCACCAGATATAACTTTCCCGAAAGTTTCTTTTGATTTTCTAGGTTCTCTTGTTTAACATTAATGAGGAAGACAGAATGAGATCTAGATGAATGTTCATTCATATCTGAAGTAAAAAGTATGGGTTAATAAATGGACATCAACATAATTATTAATTAGCAAATATGATACTATTTTCTACACTTACTTGTGACGGCAATGTGTCGATTTGATTTACCCTCCTCAATAACTTCAAACACTTCTTCAGGACTTGACACAAATCTTTCTGTAGCACCTTTGACAAATGGAACTCTGTTTTTGTCTTCATGAACGCTAAGGTTCACTTTCGAAACTAAAATGGAAAAAGTATTAATCAGTAATTCTTGTCACATCGCAAATATTCCGTAGTATTACGTATTCTCTAGAGTTTTTACTTACCATCTAACAAATCTCTGATCTTGTCCATGTAAATTTCAAAGTATGACACTTTTATGTGAAATTCCAAGTTTTCTTCCATGGCATAAATGTGGTTGAATATATCATTTACTATCCTTGGAATAATACCCTGTTTCCCTGGATCCCCTGTTGAAAAGAAACAATATTAAGAGTTTGAGACAACAATACAATTATTAGACATCAACCAGTGATTCCATTGTATACAACATTGCTGTGCCCGACAGGGTCCACAATGATCTGTATTATTCTATGTTACCTAAGTAAAAGATTGTGGAACACAATAAAGAATTTGAATTTGAACATACCTATGACACCTTCCATAGTATGTGTTTTTCCTGAACTGGTCTGTCCATATGCAAATATAGTGCCGTTGTAGCCCGCCAACACATCAGATACAATACTCTTGGCAGCTTCATTGTAGACCTTTTCTTGGGTTGCATTTGGCTTGAATACTTTGTCAAACAAGTATACTTTACCCTAAAAATACATTATTAATTATAATATATATTATTATTAGAAACCAAGCATGTGATGGAATTAAAAGAAGTAATAGGATTCGCAATTCATACATGTATTATGAAAGTTTCATTCTAAATAACTCTTGTGTACAATGCGAAACATAGTAGGAATATTTATTACCTATAGGTATAGACATGTAAGTTGTTATTTTTGACGAATGCACTTGACCATTAAATATGTAAAATCATTATAAAAAATTAAAAGAATAGAAGAGTTAATTAGCACTATTTATTACAGGCCACTGCAAATAACATTTAATTAATAACATCACCTATTTATCTAGCATGATTAATTGATTCTTTTTGTTCATGTGTTAGTCACATCGTAGAATTTTATGTATAATACAAATGATCTTAGAATGTTCAAAAACATTTTTAGCTTGTTACACATATTCTACAATTTGCATTATAGCTTAGAGCGGGCTTTAAACAATTTTGTAAGTAAAAGTAATGTTTATTACAATATGTAGCACAACAATGTGAAGGACAAAATCTAGTATGAAGAAAATGGTATTTAATAACCAGTATGTTATAAAATCTTATACTATTATATAAAGTGGCAGAGTTTGTTTTTTGTTTGAACGCGCTTATCTCCGTAACTACAAGTCTGATTTGAATAATTATTTTTGTGTTGGATAGAGCATATATCGAGGATGGCTATAGGCCATAATACATCACACTACGACCAATAGGAGCTGGGCAGAGCGTGTGAAACCGCGCGGAAGTAGCTAGTTATTAACATTGTCACTAAGTTAGATTCCTACCACTTAAAGAATAAACATAATAAAAACTGTAATTATATAAAAAGGTATATAAAACATAATCTACTATTACATGGTTAAAGTATAAATTCAAATAGATAGCTACAAGGTCTTTAAACTAATTTTCTATTATTGGATGTAACTACAAAGTTCAATGTATTGGTGCTGTTAGACACATTTCAACAATCTATTTATAGAAACCTCATTTGCAAATATTTCCTGTGAAGTCTAAACCAAAAACAAGCTGTAGATAGACTATATACTCACACAAGATGAATCAGGTCAACATAAGTATCTGACATCATCACTTAGACAGGCAATAAACTGTAGGTTGTACATTTTGAGGCAACATTGTTTAGATAATCTGATTTCCAAATTAATTATAAAAGCCATTGGGGGTTGCTTATTAAGCAATACCACATAATATGCAACTGCACTGCTTTAAAATTATGGTATAGTTAATATCTGGTACCCTCAATATTTTCTTATTAGATTCTTATAAGTTTTGTGAATAAAAACTTATAAAATATATAATTTTAATGCTAGGTTTAAATGTGATAATTTTTAAAAGAATTGGTGTCAAGTCTGCAGTGTATTTTAATCTGTAACTCTGAATATAATTACTATCAGTGTATGATCAATAATTTATGTAATACCTAGGTAAAGGGTCAATAAGGCTAGCTGCATTTAGAATTCTAGATAGTATTTCGTTGTCTATCTTGCAAGATAATATAAATATGATTATTAAATTGAATAAATCATATACATAATTAAATGTATTATTTTCCAATTCTGTAAAGAAATGTAAAACAGAAGGTGAAAACAATTGTTGGATTTTATTAGCAATTATTGCAATGAAATAGATATTGATCAAAAAATATCTGACAAGAAAGAAGAAGAGGGTAAGCATTAGAATTTACCCGTGATTTTCGTATTGCTTGCGCATTCATACAGAATAACAATATACGAACAAAAAACAAATATCTCCACACATAATTCGTGGTATACCAACTCGGGTCAAGGTCGAAGAGGTATTTGTATTGATTTTCGACAAAACAAAGACGTTGGTACTTATGCAGAGATTATTCGGCAAGATTCTTTAAATTTACACGATCATAATCATAACCATCGAAGCGGAATGAAAAAGAAAGGCCATTTCGTAGCAGGTGAACAACTCGTAATGTATTAGTCATCATGATCTAATTTAGGGCGATGATAGGGGAAAGCAATGTTAAATATGGATAATAGTTTTACTTACCCCTATAGAAATGCAGTTGTCATCGGGTCCCGAAGGGAATTTCACAATAAATTTTGATCCAGCTTTTTCTTCAGAGTCATTCAGTGGCCGAAATCGGCAAACCACTCTGATGCTGTCTTCAGCAGCAATCTCGCGATCAGCTGCCATTTTCAAAAAATAAAATAGCTTACACTACACTTCGTCTAAGCAATTAAAAAATAAAACAATTTGGGAACATAAAACCGTGCATGAAGAACTACAAAGTTACAATTTTGTCACTGAAAAATCTTCATGACAGCAATATCAAAATGTCGGCCATATTCTTCGATGAAGAAAGGCCAGAAGTGTCTCATTGGTTGAACGATCGACATACAGCCAACTTAATAAACAAAATCGATTTGCAACCATCCTGCGTTCGAAACATGATGTTTGATACACTAACATTGGAACATAAACTTAATTTCGATTTCATCTCAAGTATTTTTCGATTGATAATAATTCATCAAACCTCTCTTCAGAATAGGGATCTAACAGTATTTTATCAAATTAAAACTGTATATAAGTGCTAATTGGCATTTTAGAGTTCGGTTTTATTTCACATAATATATTATGAAACTATTATTAGAACATGGTTTCAAATCGTGAAGTTGGAAATATTGAATGAATGCTTTCAGTGCGTAACTCGAATGAATGATGAGTAATCTGTGACTGAAATATAACTTTAGTTCATTCAATTCATTCATATACTTTTACGTGCTTTGTGTGATTTTGTGGATATAAATTATTTTAATTACAAACGAAAATGAATTAAAATGCGATGATTCTGATTAAAACAACATATAATTAGAAAAGCACTGGTAAGTGTCACTTTCATTAAAATTTGTAACGATTGATGAAGTTCTGATGAACCTGAAATTTGGTAAACTTCAGCGAAGTGGTCAGCCCACGAGCGACCTAATTATTATTTCGCCCATATACTGTGTCCAACACATATTATAAATAAGATGATTTAATAGCCAAGTACTTCTTCAAAGTAATTAATTCAATGTGGTAGTAATTGTTGTACATTCAGTATGTGTCTAATTTTAAACATGACCATAATCATTGTTTTGTTTATAAATATTTTTAAAGGCTATATTTGATGAGATAAATAAATAATATGTAGGTAATTACAATTATTTAAGTTCTGAAAAAATCTTATAGTGTATTATTTATTTACAAATCCTGTACTATCGTATGTAGTAAAATATGAGAAATATCCAAATAACTATAATTTTAATTTCAGTTCTTTTTTGCTTGGTTTGTTGGTTTTCTATTGTGGTTCATTTAGGTACCTATATTTATTAACTACTACCTACTCCCGCGCGGTTTCGTGATGTTAAGCCTCTAAGCTTATTTTTTAATTGACTATCCAATACAAAAAGAATCCTTTGATTGGAAACAGTAGTTCCGAAGATTTGCATGTTCAAAGAAACAAGCTTAAAGCCTAAGAGTTTGTACTTTAAAGCTTAAGAGTTTGTACTCTTAAGCTTTATAGTATGTCGCGGAGAACCTAACGGGTAACCGGGGCTCCGGCTCGACGTGCAGGAGAAGGAACGGGGTGGTTTTTAGTCAGTAAGAGTGACACTCCCTCCCGCCTCACCCAGGCGGGAGCAGTCATTCTATGATTTTCCCCCCATAAAAAAAAGCTTTATAGTATGAGTATAAATTAAATATGAAATACTCGCCTATAGGTACTTCTTATAGGTCTGAGGCAGATTTTAATTAATTTACTCTTTTTCAAAATGCCTTATTGAATAATGCAGATATGAATATACATATCTAGTTTGTTTTTAAAATCTAATAAGGAACTATTAACCTTTTGATTGCAACGATATGAGACACAATAGAAAATACATTGCGTCTCGTGTGGATCCACATCTTAGACACATGAAAGGTTAATAATGCATTACTAAGTGTGGGGGAGCCATGCTTCGGCACGAATGGGCCGGCTCGACCGGAGTGATACCACGGCCTCACAGAAAACCGACGTGAAGTGTGAGTGAGGTTATCGGAGGCCCAATTACTCTCCTCTACCACAATCTCCCCAATTCTTGAATCTCCAACTATCCTCAAACTCCTAATCCCCAAAAGGCCGGTAACGCACTTGTAATGCCTCTGGTGTTCCAGGTATCCATGGGCGATGCCGATTCCTTACCATCAGGTGATCCGTCTGCTCGTTTACCGGCTTATGCCATAAAAAATATATATATATATATACTATATCATTATATTTATTAACTCGTCGAGTACCGTCATTATAGACACAATTATAGAACAATAGGTTGCGGTCACCGGTGACCGCTTGGTGTTTGACAGTTTAATTCCAATGACAGAACAGACATTCAATATTAAAAAGAATTCTTACTTAGACCGGGACAATGCCGGACCATCCAGAATCTAAATACCTATATTAATATTTCTTTCACCTGTACACTAAATAACTTAAGAGTGGCTAAATCTATTTGTCTGAATATTGATGGGGAGGTAGTTCAGAACCGATACAGACATAGGGATCTCGTATCAATACCAATTAAGTATTTTTATAAGTATCAATACCAACTTACAATTAATTGTAACAATTTTATACAACCCAGCCTTTTTATTATGTTTTTTGTTCTTTATTTTAATTATTAAGGGTTCATCACTAATACTAACTAACTGGGTTACTAAGGACTATGTTACATTTACCGAACTCAATAAGACTGACATTGTTCAATGTTCAGTGCGACTCTTTCAGGCTCATTCCTGACACATTGTGCTATGTATTATATTTTTTAGTATCATTTTGATATTATTTGGTATAGTTTTTTTTAAATGGGCTCTACATTTTATTGAATTTATAGATCATAAAGTTATTTAAATGGTTTTTAGTAACTTTATATTTATCTTATAGGTAGTAAAGAAAACAAAAAAAAGTTTATGTCTAATTTGCTTATGGTTTAAAATTTTTACTTTAAAATCCTTTTATAATTGGGACATTAACATTGTCCTACAATTTTATGCAAATATAAAACAATTATAAATTGTTATAGTTAATTTCTCTGAACTGAAACCAAATTTTTTTTTTACAGTATTCTAATTTCTGTTTTAATAATCATTATAACTATAATTTACCCAGCGCTATTTATAGCAAAATAACTTCAGTTTTAATTAGGGAATATCTTCCATATATGACTGTTTTTGTAGTGGGGTAAGTGGCGACACGGCGCCGCGCCCGCCAAAGCAAGCGGGAACGGTCATTGACCCGTCTGGTACACCCCTAAACCGTTATCGACGATATAAGGAAACCCGCTGGAGGCTTTGCGGAACCTTGTAGATGCACGGTTCAGTTATAGCTCGTTAGCTGGCTAATCACTTTCGTAGAAAACGCATTGTCATCGAATATGTCCCCAATTACAAATACTTTTTGTAGTAAATAAGACGTAATGTTCAATCAAATATTAGGTTTGTAAGTACCTACATTTTTGTGCGGAAATGCAATACCTAATTAGATAAACAACGCTTCGCACACTATAAGTAGGGTTTAAATAAAATCATCTAGTTGCCATCAAACTGGCCATAGCTTATTGTTTTCCGCTTAAGTATTAGTGGGTTCAACTGATGATTTATGCATGTTCGTATGACCATCAAATGTGACTAAATAAGCGAATGAATGCTTACGATATCACAACTTGAATCATCACTTGGACGGTTGGAGTTGCTAATGACGTAATTTACTCGACCTACAGAAGCACCGGTTTGTCTTAAACTCTTGGAGGTCATTTTTAAATTCTTATCCGAAGTTTTGAGATGTAATTGTAATTTGTCAGAGGTGAATTTTTAACTTAATAAGCGTCTGTTTTCACGAAAAAAGCGTACATTTACAGGTAACTAATTAAAAGTGTTCACAGTTCTTATTTTTCTCCTTTACTTAGAAATAAAGCGGATCAAGGCTGAGTAGCGAATTCTATGCAATTTCATTGATTCATCTATTGTCTTCTGATTCTGATGTCTTCATGTCTGATGGTGTAGTCCAATGGATTCTATGGATTTCTTCTAATGATATGCTCCACTTGCAGCCCTTCTTAAAATACCTGTAGTTTCTATTTACGTCTTGCTAACTATATACGACCCTCATATCTGAGGCCTTAGTACGAGTTTGTTAATTGTTTTACGTTTAAAGTAATCGTAACGAGTACGTGTTCGGCGCTCTGAGGCCTTAGTACGAGTTTGTTTTACGTTTAAACTAAAGTATTCGAAACGAGTACGCGTTCGGCACTCTGATTGGTTGGTTCAATTACTAAAGACTTCATGCACACACTAATGTACAAGGTGGGCTTAATGTATGGCTTAATGCCTAGGGCATTCTCCTCCAGCCAGACCTTTGGGTGATGCAGAGACAAAAACAATGGTCGATGCAAGAAGCAAGCGCATTTAAGAATCAACAGCAATACATAAAAAAAGGATAGTTTAAACTTACATAAAATAAATCCTTATATAAAGTTACATGAATATGACATAACAATAATCTTTCTTCTTATATTTATATTACATATACTAGTTAGACGTAACATAATTATACATAGTATATTGATAATTATGTATCGGTCGTACTTTGTTTAATTAGATTTCAATCACCTATCTAAGTAATTGGTATCTATTTGGACTAGTCTAAGAGACTAATTCTACATGGTCTAGGTATATTCTAATAATACATGGATCCAAACCTCACAAGTCTAAATTTTATGCACTAACTGTGTCGATTCGATAGTCCATGTCACATAAATGTTATATTTTGATGAGTGTATTGAGTATTGATTCCCAGAAGAAACTGTGACGGCTCTTGTTGTATCACTCGCTGACGAAGTTATTTTCTGTACAATTAGTCACGCGTGTATCCGGCGCGCGCGCACGTCGTGTCGTGCTAAACACAATAAATTCGAAAATAATTGCAAAAAACATTGAGACTGATTAAAATAATTAGTTTAATAGGTGGTATTTAAAAAGTAGTGTGATATGAGATAATATTATTATGGTTAGTGATATTTTTTATTATTATGTTTTAAGGGTCGTAAACGAATGGACCTTTAACAAGTTATAAGATAAGTGTGAAACACCCTTTATTATAAACAGTTTTAAAGTAGACAACTGTGATTGTGCATTACCTACCGAGTGAGTGATTTAACCCCAGTGATAAGTGACTTATCAGTTACTGTTTTAATTGTGTAAGTGCAATGCAAATAATGTAGGATAGTAATGTATAGAGACTTTGAAATGAATTTATCTCATAGTTGCTGCTTATTAAATTCGTAACAATTTTTGTAGTTTATCATATACATAATATTATGAACGTATCGTTGTTTGCATAACAATGACGTTATGTTTTAGAAAATATTTCTTTACCGTAATTAAATAGCTAACTAACTGCAGTATATTGTGTATAAATTCGCTGTTGCTCGGTTTGAAACTGTGTTACAATTACAACAACATAACCTAGATTACTCATTTGCCTCCTACCTACGTCTAGTTATGCGCTATACGGAAAGAAGCATTTATGAATTTACACCTCACAACATCTCAAGTCAACAAGGTGAACACATGGCCGTATTTAGCCTTTGCCGGGTCGTTATGTGACAACTGACAACGTTAGTTGATACTGACACGTAAAATATCATAGAACTGATTAATATAATGGTATACTCATTATTAATCTTAACTAATAGAATGTTAAAACCAAAGGGCTCTAGACGCCAAGCGTGTTATTTAGTAAAAACAGTTTTGGATAGGAACACGAAACATGCATAATAATCTCAGACGAGGCGGACTGGATATGATAAAGAGCGTAGGCGGCGCCCTTTCTCACTCGGTGCGGCCGCCTACATAGGTAGCCATATGTTCCGACCGTATCATAACGTTTACTCAACGCTATTTACTACCTGAGAACCGATGACGGCGTCGTACAATCATTCATGCTTTACAGCTAATACTGTGAGTGGTTTGTAAATATCGTCATCGAAGTTAGCTATGCCATTTTTATTTATAGGTTTACTACTAATTGCCATGTATCATTCTAATCCTACATTTGTACTGACCTACTCTAAAAATTTACGTAAACATAGATAATTCAATTACCTACTTCACGATGAAACATTTTGTCAATCACGAATTAAACCTACATGAAAATTCTTATTATTTTTATTTATAAACATCGGTAGGTAGAATACTAACTACTTAGATTTTCGTAGGTACAATAGGGCGTGACGATAATATTGCTGGTTATGTATTAATGTATCATCATCAGCCGGAAGACGTCCACTGCTGAACAATGGCCTCTCCCTTTTAGTCCTCCATAATAAATATACACTACACTTGCATACAACAAGAGGAGTATTTAATCATGCATTAAGAGCATGGCGTACATTTTTCGCAACGTTCCACGAGTTTATGTAACACTGTAATTGCACTAAATTACTAAAACTATTGTATTACCTACGTTCGAGCATAAAATAAGATTTCCTGTCGTTCTGACCTTAAATACTAGGTCATGCAAGTAGAAAGTTACATATGAGCACGCTAAAATGCTTGTTAAAAACATACTGTTGAAATTACTCAGGCAATGTTCAAAATATATGTAGAGTTTCTATGCGTTTAGAATTCTGAATGGCATTAAGTAGGTACTGCTAGTGATACTAAATATTGAAATATAATTTGTGTCTGCAATAAACAACAAATAATTGTTACCCAATTTTTTTACAGACCTGCAATATAATGAACTTTTTCTTGTTACAGAACTTGATCTGATCACGAATCTTAATTAATTACAAAATGTATATACATCGATCGACTGTATTACGACTGTGTGTGTGGGTGAGCCTGTTGGCGCTATGTGGGGCCCAACGCGCAGAGCAACTCCTGGCACAGAATCCGTGCTCCAGCAAGACGACGTGCAGTGACTGCATCCGTACGGCCAGCTGCGCATGGTGCTTTGCAGCAGAGTTCAATGGCCCACGATGCTTCAACCCGGCCATGGAGCGAGATGGCACCGCGGGATGTGAAGAATCCTACATATTTAACCCAGACAATAAACGCTCTGTCGATCCCATGTACAATATGGAGCTGAGCAGAGGTAACCACCTTACTTACTCGTCCCAACATCTTTAGGCGAATCTTAAGTAAATTGTGAATTGAAACAAACACATCATGAATTCTGTTTTCAGCAAAGTCCAGAATGGGTATGGCTGCTGGCTCATCTTCTTATGAAGAGTCTTACAGTGCAAAGGGCAGCAGTTTTGCTGCTTCAGGATCGGCAGCAGCCGCCGGCGGTGAGGCTGGTGGCGACAGACTGGTACAGATGAAACCTCAGAAAGTGAATCTCAACCTAAGAATGAGTAAGTGTTATGTAAAAGTATAATGTTTACATTTTATTATGAAGCAGAAGTGGTTGTTGGAACTTGTATACATGTAGTGATATAACTCAACTAGTTATGATAAACAATTAACGTTCAATGTCATCATTCAGGACTAATCAATTCAATTCATCTATGACACAATTTCCTGATGAGTGTCGTTATTTACAGAACATAATTTACATGTAAAATACGTTTCTATTTTTAGATCAAATGCAGAAACTTACATTTGCGTACTCCAGAGCTCAAGATTATCCTGTTGACTTATATTACCTTATGGACTTGAGTAGATCTATGAAAAACGACAAAGAGAAACTCAGTACACTGGGAAGTTTACTGTCTGCTACTATGAGAAACATGACATCCATGTTCAGGATCGGATTCGGCTCATTTGTAGATAAACTAGTCATGCCTTATGTATCTACAGTGCCTAAGAAGTAAGTAAATGATATTCATTCAAAACTACCTATTAAATCTAGGCGATATTGATCAAGACGGATCAATTTATTAACGTTTACTATTTTCAGTTTGATATCACCCTGTGACGGTTGTGCAGCGCCTTATGGTTACCAAAATCAAATGTCTCTCAGTACTGACACTGACTTCTTTGAGGTGAGTTAACAATTATGATAATTCCATGTTGTATTTTTAGAATGTAATTAAGGCATTGGCTGCCAATAAAAAACTGTTGAAGGCAAATCCTCCGCTAATGTCGGTCACCAGTGACTGCCATGGCGTTTAACGTGTTAAAAAAGAATGTGACATAATTATCATGTTGTCTTTCTCGTACAGAAAGCAGTAGCGAACGCAGACGTGTCCGGTAACTTGGACGCTCCCGAAGGAGGGTTCGATGCTATTATGCAGGCCGTGGTCTGCAAGCAACAGATCGGCTGGCGAGACCAGGCTAGGAGACTTCTTGTCTTCTCCACAGACGCCGGATTCCATTACGCTGGCGACGGAAAGGTATTTATTTTGTAATGTATTGTTAACGTATTTTTAGTGCATTTGTTTTCAAAAGTAAAAGTCTAAATTAGGTCACTCATGTTACGCAGTGTTACGTCAAAATAATCATGAAATGTAATACTTCAAAGTTCCGGTACTTATTGCAATTGCAGCGTATCACGCATGTTGTACGTAGTTTTGTTTTTTTAATCATTCACATTTCATTGCAGCTCGGTGGTATCGTCCAACCTAATGACGGCGAATGTCACATGAAGGACAACACGTACACACACTCGACACTGCAGGATTACCCCAGTATTTCACAGATTAATCATAAGGTTTATATTTAGATGCTATTCAGTACAATTTAAAAGAATATTGAAATGAATTCTAGTTAAAATTTACCTCCTTTTTGTGTATAGGTGAAAAAGCACGCTATCAACGTAATCTTCGCGGTGACGGCGGAGCAGATCAGCGTATACGAGCAGCTGAGCAAGCACATCGAAGGTTCCAGTACGGGAGTGCTGAGCAACGACTCCGATAACATCGTCGACCTCGTCCGGGAACAGTACAACGTTAGTCACTATGTCATTGCATTGCACTTATTCATTACTCTGGTCGTTATCACGGGTAACAACCTAACATATTGTTTGAAACTTATAACTTAAGTCTTAATATTTTTCTGGCCTATTTCCAAGTAGGTTAAGGTTAGAACGGGGTCTTTACGAGAATCGACTGAATATTTTTCCTGTTGTTTACCAACTTTATTGTTCACAACAGAATATTAGGGGCAAATAATATTGTCTACTATTTGCAGTACCTTGGTTATAACTTTAAAAAATTACAAAAGAGAGACGATTATTAAAAAACGTATTTATTATTTAAATTTTAATATTCAATAGATTTCCATTAAATTAAAAGATACATAATGTGAATACCTGAATGAAAGTTGACCTTGACCAATGCTTTCCTGACTGACGATTTTCACACGTTTTTCATAAAGTAACAATCACTTTACGTTTTAATGTAGGTATAAAAAAAACCGTTTAAAAATATACACTCATGTTTTTGTTACACAGAAAATTACGTCAACAGTAGAAATGAAAGATTCATCGAGTGACGCTGTGCAAATAGTTTATTACTCATCTTGTCTCAGCGGCAAAGAACTCACCCAGACAAACAAATGCGACGGATTAAAGGTAATTTATTGTTTAAATATTTTCTTTTTTCGAGCAAGTATGATTGCTGACCTTTCTAACAAAAAAAAAAAGAAGCCATTAACACGCCATCGATGTTGAATAACACATCTAACTCATGGTTAAAACAACCAAAAAGGGAGTGATGAGTCTTGATGCTATGATATCAATGTTGATATTAAATTTTAATATTATTTATTTAGGTCGGCGATGTCGTGGAATTCACAGCTGAAATCACATTGAAAGAATGCCCGAAAGACCGCAGCAAGTGGAAGCAGACTTTCGAGATCTCCCCCGTCGGTATCTCTGACAGTCTTACTGTTGAACTGGAAATGGTCTGCGATTGTCCTTGTGAACAGCCTAATCATCATGTGAGTAGTCCAATTACCCTCACTATATATACAACATATTAGGTACACACCTAGACGCAATGAATCCAAAGTTCAACATTACTTTGTTTTAACACCATATACCATGAGACATGTAAGTCTAATACAGCGCTAACGGTGTATATTGCGTCAGGCGTACAACGACAGTCCGCTGGTATGCAGCGGCGAGGGCGTGTCGGCGTGCGGGGTGTGCGTGTGTCGCGCGGGGCGCTTCGGCAAGAACTGCGAGTGCTCGGCGCACGGCGGCGTGTCGGCCGAGCAGGAGCGCGGCTGCCGCCCCACCAACGCCAGCGCCGGCCCGCTCTGCTCCAACCGCGGCACCTGCATCTGTGGCGTCTGCGAGTGCAACAAGATGGACGACCCGCTTAACGTAATTACACCCTTCATTATTCTACTTCAGCCTATATTATCATGGCCCGAGCGTACGTTGCGGTGCGGTACGCGTTCCGTTCGCCATCAGTACACCACTGGGACTCACTAGGGCCGATGACATATCGCGACACGGCTCGGATCAGAACTTGGAACGGAATGATTTTTGTCAGTAAGAGACACTACCTCTGGCTTCATCTAGGGCGGGAGGACTGAAAGGTTTCAAACGATACAATTTTAATTTTTGTGGCAGAAGTCCACCACAATCTCCTAAAACCGCTGCAACTCTTGAAAGGCAGGATCTACAGTAGATACAAGCATGAAAACACCGGAACACTGAAGTCCCGTGCGTCCCAGGGACCTGAATAACTGTCTTGGTTCCCGCAATAAAATAAATCAGGAGATATTATAAGAAAAGAAAAAAACAATAATTTCCATTTTCCTCTGTGAATTATTACAATTTGATATTAACGAATCACTTTTCTTCAGGTGATTTCTGGCCCGTTCTGTGAGTGTGACAACTTCACATGTGACATGAACAAAGGTTTGCTTTGCTCGGGCCCCGACCACGGGGAGTGTGTCTGCGGCAAGTGTAGCTGTACTCCAGAGTACACCGGACCAGCCTGCCAGTGTTTGAAGGACCAAACTCCTTGCCGGTCTCCTGGTTAGTAAAATTGCTGATGTAATATCATATGCATATAGTATGTAGTTCACTTTATGAATACATACCTACATACACTGCTTCTACAAGTACATTGATGGACTTTGGGTCTCGTTTACAAAAGAGGAGCGTTTGCCATTATTTAATTGCAACGCCACGCCTGCCAGGCGAGCTGGTGATCGCAGTTTCAAAAATTTGTTAATTAAATGGTCATTCGTCGGAATGAGTGCGGCGTTGACAATCTGTCTGCCGTCACAAAACAGCGATCGGATATAGCCATAAAAAGCATTAAAACATCGTGTATACAAACTGTACGCATTTCGGTATTGGTTATCCTTAACCCGTCATGTTTTTTTACAGAAAACAATGAAATATGTAGCGGTAACGGAAAATGTGTCTGCGGCCAATGTGTGTGTAATGTAGATGACGATCGTCATTATTCCGGAAAATACTGTGAAAAATGTCCCGTAAGTACCTTTTTACATAGACTTTCTCTTTCAAGCACGACAAGTCTATTTGAAATGTGCCTAGATTTATTGGTATGTTAGTAAATAATAATACCATTATGAAAGTAATCTGAACATTATATTTTCCCCCTCAAGACTTGCCCTGGACGCTGCGGTGAATTCAAAGACTGTGTGTTATGTGAGGTACACAAACGTGGTCCGCTGTACAACGCCGACACAGATACCTGTGGCGACTGTGCGCTCTATCCCATAATCGAAGAAGGGAAAATTGAAGGTAAAATTTCACAACACTTGACTATTTCAATATTGTATACATGCAAATGAGATAATACAGACCTAAAAGGCCTATGGCAACATTTTGGCCATCTGTTGACTTTTCTAAATACTATGGTATATTTAGGCCAATTTTTTAAATGGATTAAATGAAATCTTTAGGACTATGCGTTTATATTTGTACTTATTTATTTAAACTTATTTTAAACATGAGAAACGGGCGTCTTACCTTAGACCACCACGACAGTGTCGTGTCAAAGAACGCCCGGAGGTAAGACGCCCGCTTCTCATGCATTAGGGGTACGGGTTCGAAACCTACCAACGTCAAGTACCAATGTGACATTTTTCGAGTTATATGTACTTTCTAATATTATCTAGCTAGACCACACCACTGACAAACGGTGAAGGAAAAGATAGTGAGAAAACCTGGGCATATAATTTCTAATTATAAGTTTGTAATCGCCAACCCGCATTGAGCAAGCGTGGTGATAAATGCTCAAACCTTCTCCGTTTGAGAAGAGGCTTTGCTCAGCCAATGCTGAGGCTTTGCTCAGCATTGTCTGAGCAAAGGCTCAGCATTGCTGCAAAGGCAAAGGCTGCTGCATGGGCATTTATAGGCTGTTGAACTCATTTTAAACATATTTTTAAAATGTTTTCGTGTTATTGCAGCGAACGAATCTCGAAACGAGCATTTATGTAGTTTCTACGACGACGAAGACTGTTTGTATGTGTATGTGTACTCCTACAATGAGAACCAGCAACTTGTTATCAGGGCGCAGAAGGAAAGAGAATGCCCCAAGAAGGTATTTATTATAAGTTTTTAAATTTCAAACCATAATAAACATATTTTACACCTAAACTTTACACTACCCTATCGCGAATGATAGACAAAAATCCGTCTGATAATTTTTAAATTTATTGCGATCTAATGAAAAAACTTGGGAAGAATAATAAAAGGGAATATTTTTGATGTATATGTAAGAATTTTTCAAGGTTTTTAGTACACAGTACTTGATTCCATGTTTTAAGATGCTTAGTTGGTACAGTGAACATGAAAAGACGAGTTACTGCTTAAAACAATGCATACGGATTTCTTTTATCACAGGATATTACTCACATTGAATTATAAATAAAATTACGACCACAATTAACTAACAGAAACAATAAATAGGTACTTGTGATCGTAATGCGGCTTAGTCAATATTTTCAGAAAACAACAAGTCTACCAAGTGATAAGAAATGTATCACTGAATTTATTTGTTTTACTACAAGTTATATTCAAGAGATAAAAATAAAACAGGCATAATTTTATCAATGTTTACTTTTAGAAACTCTGTCTATTGTTTTCTAGTTATTTGACAATGATTGTATTTATTTGTAGGTGCCGATCTTGGGTATTGTGCTGGGTGTGATCGCTGCGATAGTGTTGGTTGGGTTGGCACTACTGATGTTATGGAAGATGGCGACCACTATCCACGACCGCAGGGAGTTCGCGCGCTTCGAGAAAGAACGCATGATGGCCAAATGGGACACGGTAAGTTATCATACAAGTTTTCGGACACTAGAGTTCTTGTGTGCCACACGTTGATCAACACCAATTGAGACACAATGAAAGGACTGCCTGACACGATATTTTTTTGATCACACACAATCACTTAGTGAGAGACACGAATACTGCCGGTGGTCCTACCTTTGCGCCATCTTGGCTTATCAACTTTTAGAAATTAAAAAAGCCTTGTAATATTATTTTTTCTAATCTGTGTTTTTCTTTCCCAGGGCGAGAATCCTATTTACAAGCAAGCGACTTCAACCTTCAAAAATCCTACATATGCTGGAAAATAATAAATTATTTATACACAGATTCAAAAAGTCAGCAAATTGAAGTAGTCGTCTCAATATGTACAACTTGTAATGCCGCATTTATAAAGTTATCAAGAAGTCAGTATTTAATATGAAATTTCGTGTATCAAAATAGATCATTAGAATCATGTTAAATTAAGAAATGCATTGAGAGTTGCCTTAAAAATGTGCCTTCAGTAACTTATTGTCGATTGCACAAGTCAGTGCATGAAACGCTTGATAGATGTAGCTTACTATCATTGAGTTTCTACATAAATAAATTGAAATCTACATTATTGTACAGATGTTTACAAACGCAAATGCACTGTCTGTATTTATGCCTTACGTTTATTTTATAATGCATATTTTGTCCGAAGGTCTGTTTAATCTCAGGATGTATATTGTACGCTTTTTGTACTTATGTGTGAATGAATGTCGTATGTACTTGTGTTCGTGTGTAGCTTCGTCGAATCGAACGTGTCTCGGGGTGCTACAACTATACGCTATATACACTACCCTGTATTTTATATATTACGTATTTTAAGACCATGGTGCGTTCGATAGGTTGTAGTTTAGAGCTTTATAATATTTATAATATTATTGACGAAAGTAATCCTAATTTACAATACTGACAATATCGGGAATAATACTTAATTCGTTAATTATTGATTGAATTGACTACAAATTCTCATTTTTATACAAAATATATTTTAAAGTCAGTCTGCCGTTGAGTCAATTTAGGATCCCGATATTACTTTCTTAAGTGTTATCGTAATACTATTAATATATAAGAGCAAGATACGTATTTATGATATATCATACTTTCAATATTGTTAACTCATGAGTCTCTATTTAATATTTACTCATTCAAGTTACGAACTTTTGTTTAGTCTGATCGAAATGTAGCAATTTAGACACTGCCATTACAATACTATAATGCTAGGCGGAAAGTGAGACGTTATAATCTGCCTTTGATTGTACTTATTCATACTCTGAAGTATGCGTAGAGTCAAAAAATCTCTCGAAAAAAGATCTCACGCGTTTCGGATTTATTATTTCGTCCAACATTACAATGTATTACGACGATACGCCAAATGCTCTCAGAGGTACAGTGTACTAATACGATGATCCTCTAAAATATAAAGTACATTATGTACAGATTCGTTGAGGTAATCTCCGTCAATCTCCAATAGACGTCGTACGTCGCGTTCTACTATGGCGACGGCGACGTTACTAAAGCTTCCTTCATTCGCCCTCGTGCCTTGTTATAACATGAATAATAACTAGTGCCATTACTAATATTATAGTGTGTAAAAGAAAATTATTATTTATTTCAAATATTAAAGTTGATATAATTATGTAGAAAAGTAATATTATTGTAATTTAGTGTTGTAAGATTTTATATCGAATAAGATTTAGTTTTGAGTTTGGACATCCTTTTTTAAATATATAGTATTTTTTATTTTGTTATTGTGAAAAATGCCTTTGACTGAAATGAATGTTTTATATGAAATTCAAAAACACTTTGTGAAGTAATGTGTTGCTTATACCTACATATTGGTCCCACCAGTCGTTCCAAATAAAACGCCAATCCTGACGCTAATCGACAAATTGTTTGATACGCCAATTACTCGGAGCAGGAAAATATTCAGTTTCTTTGATTTCATTATTACCCTAATGAACTGATTGTCTAAAATTATGTCGAATTTGAGTTGTCTTTCTTTTTCTTTTGACCCAATTGTAAATATTTAGTTTTAACATGCAAAAAAATAAGCAATTGTGGCTTCTAATAGTAGCTAATAAATATTAACACAAATATGTTACTTTTATTTACATACATATACTAAGTATTCCCCTTTTCCTACAATTTGAACAGCACACAAACTAATAGTACGAGATCCGGCTGCAGAATCAGTGTACCCATCGAGTGTTTGCTGAAAACCAAATTTTTACACATATTCATGATTAGGAGAATTTATATCCACCAGGTTGCCTATCAAAATGTGGCCGCTAGTATTTTTAATTAAATTATTAATAATTCATAATCCGTAAGAAATTTCATTGACTTTTTTTTTCAATGAAATGTCGTCTACTTTACGGCAACATCTATAAAGACTCTGAAAAATTATGGTTGCCGTTGCGCACCTGGCCGCACCTCTTCGCAGCCAGGTATACACAGGTATGAATTTGTTACATTTATACACCCACAACGTACATTTATAATTTATATATCAAATTAAAGCAAATTTTTTTCTGTATATTATTATATACGGTTGCTTAATTAAATCTGGCCGCCAATAAGGGTTGCTGGCTAATAAATATAGTAAATATTAAAAGTAGAGTGAAAGAGAGCTAGCGCGTAACACCACTAGTCACTAGGTACGACTCAAAATAATAAATACTCCAAAAGAAACGTCTTTCTTTTCTAAAATAAAAAATTAAAAAGTCAATGACAAATTTAAAAATTACAAAAAAAATTAATATTGATGATAAATAAAATCAAGGTTACTTATGTAAAAAAATTGTGTTGTACAAGTACTGTATGAAAAAAGATTTAATTTTATTCAAGTATTACATTTATTTTACATATTCATCAATCATCAGTTTAAGCAAATTATAAATTTTTAAAATGTATTATATTTGTATTATACTTCCATGACTCTTTTTTAAAAATCTGAATCATCGGAGCTCTCAGTCACACTATCATCGCAGCTATCACTTTCATCAGAAATATCGGTATCGTCGTTATTATCGGAAGGCTTGTTCGTGGAATCACACAGCACATTCTCAACTTGCGCTGGAGTTGGATCTCCCAGGAACCATGTTGGTTTTAAAAAACCATCTAACAGCAGCCAGCCATTATTTTCCGCGCTGAACTTGATGCAATCCCGCTCAGTAGCATTTAACCACATCGAATTAACAAAGATGGTTCGCAATAATTTTTCCTTTAAAGATTTCCAGCATGGTGGAATGTGCGTTGAGTCAAAACCTTTAATTCTTCTCATAAATTTCTCACTACTTCCTTTTGAAGCGTACATTTTGTTGAATAATAAAAATCTTGCGGCATTTACACTTTGGCACTTTGGGAGTTCATACATAAGGCACGTAAAATGTTAAATCTGACGCATGCGCAATGGCTTTAAACCGTCCGACAGCTGGCAATCGCTATCCTCGTCTGACTAGTGGTGTTACGCGCTAGCTCTCTTTCACTCTACTTTTAATATTTACTATATTTATTAGCCAGCAACCCTTATTGGCGGCCAGATTTAATTAAGCAACCGTATATAATAATATACAGAAAAAAAATTGCTTTAATTTGATATATAAATTATAAATGTACGTTGTGGGTGTATAAATGTAACAAATTCATACCTGTGTATACCTGGCTGCGAAGAGGTGCGGCCAGGTGCGCAACGGCAACCATAATTTTTCAGAGTCTTTATAGATGTTGCCGTAAAGTAGACGACATTTCATTGAAAAAAAAAGTCAATGAAATTTCTTACGGATTATGAATTATTAATAATTTAATTAAAAATACTAGCGGCCACATTTTGATAGGCAACCTGGTGGATATAAATTCTCCTAATCATGAATATGTGTAAAAATTTGGTTTTCAGCAAACACTCGATGGGTACACTGATTCTGCAGCCGGATCTTAGACTATAATAAATATCAGATTAATTCACGGGTACAATCACATTCACATTTATGTGTGAGCGTGTATCTATACGTATAGGCTCCCTATACTTGCCTATGTATTTCTTGTCGCTGTCGTCGTTTCTTTGATGTGCCCAAAATCATATGAATTACTTACACATTAGGCACATGAGTAATCAATAGGTGGTATCCATAGAAACGTGTGTGCTGCTATTTCAACCCTTATTATGAGATAACTAGGTATTGTTGTGTAGATACAGTACTTACCATCGAATGTAATTATTTTCATGATAGGTACCACCTACACAAACTTTTGGTCCATAGGGTAAGGCAAAACTACAAAGTGCATGACTGTTTAAAGCTAGCTAAGTGAGGTACTATAGATAATATTCTTCAAAGTTTATATAATATTTATCAACAATATTGAGAATAGAGTTCCCATCTGAAATGGGTATTTGACCTTCGTTTTTCCATGTACACCTAGGGGCATGGGGTTTAAAGTTCACTTCCTTGTAATGTATCATTTGCCCTAAAAATGTTGTAGACGTGTATCTACCTACTACCTGCGGTCTACCCACGATTTATCATACATGTTTGAATAACATTGACACATCCAAAAAATCGTTTAGAAATTCAATTTCCCCGCGCGCTCGTAAATGTATCGTTATCAGTTGAATAGCTCATAAGCGGGATTGTTTGCCGAACATGATTTCATATCATACAGTGCACCGCACCAAACGACGTGATGCCTGAATTAGGCTGTTTGTATTCGGCCATATTCGACGCTTTGTGTGCCAAATACGTAGACCTGGTGAATAACATGATATGAATTTCAATTTATACGATCTATCTATGAATGTACGCTGAAAGCAACATTAATAACACTTTGTTCGTGAAGCATCATTCGTCATAGTATCTCGTTTAGTAAAATAAATTAGGTCGCCCCGGCAGGCCGCCCGCTCCCTGTCCAGACAGCAGCCTCGACCGGGATCGGAAGCTGTCATTGTCTCATTCTGTGTTCATTCATTGCCTCCGCTCCACCACCGCACAGATTAATAGTAGTTACGAGTAAAATCTCCATTCAGCCTCGGCGTCCCCTTCTATGGTCATTACTCAACCTGCTAAAGAAAGACACTCTTTGTTGATGTTATAAATATTACATTTTTTATTACATTATAAATATTACATACATATAAAAATATTACAAAATAAATATTACATTATAAATATTACATACATATAAAAATATTACAAAAATAGCATTAGCATTTTTACTTGACCAATCTGTGCTAATGCAGTTGTTCTCGTTATATATAGATAGTTTTAGGTACCAGTTACCTAGTTGTTAAAAGTCGGCACCTAATTCAGTAAAAATTAGAAACCTATATTATTACCTACCTACTAATTTTTAAATGATTAGGTACAAGGGAGCGATGTCGTACTTCGCTGTATTTTGGCTTGATTGTAGTTTTTAACGAGTTTTTCAAATAATAAATATGCTATCGTGTGGATGAATAAGCCTATAGAGAGTTAATGTGAATTTGATGGAAAATGTCCTATACACCTCATTGTTATTCAAAATTGTTTATGGAGACCGAGCCGAACACATTAACGATATACAAAAGGCTCCGCAGGTGGCTCGACGATTAATCACAGCAAGGAATTCGTCGGCGCGTGGGGCGGGTGGACCATCGGGCGGCAGCGCTTGGGCGGGCGGCGGCGGCGGCGGGCGCGGTAGTGCCGCCGCGATCCCGCGCCGCGACGCACGCCCCGCCCGCCCCTCGCCCCTAACGCGCGCGACCCCCGCCGCACGTGCTGATCATCTGCCTTCCAACTGATAAACAACACAAGCTGTCACTAAAGGTAACATATATAACTTTTAATAATAATGTACAAAATAGAAATACGTTTGTTTATGGTAATAATTCTCGCAACATGCACTTGTGAGTTGTTGCCAAACTTTGTAAACTTTTTCCAAAAAGTTTCATGTGGATAAGAATTATTGCAATGTACCCACCTATAAATTGGTAATCAATAAGGAGAAAAGTTTCTATTTTAACGGGTAACTAAACCAACCTGTTGAACTCTGTTTTATTTCTCCGCAGAAAGTTGTTTGATTCAATTTACAAAGAAACTTCTTACTTTCTTGTTTCCGAACTTACATTTAAATTGATAACTTTTGATATTGTAACTCGTGACTCTCAATGTAGGTACTACTCAATGTAGGACTCTCGTATACCTATATATAGTTGCTAATATTTCTTACATTGTGGTAATTGCTACAGAATATACCTAATGTTAATAAAGTTTACCTGGGCTGGTATTTTACACAACTGTTATTCAGATTCAAAATGGGTACCTGTAAGAAAAACAATGAAAAGTCGTCCTTTAAAATCAGAACCTGTTTCACCACAAGTACCCAAGTATAATACCGAGGTGGACGAAGAAATTGATAAGACGACTTATAACAATAGGAGATTTGGACGTCAACAAAGAGCGATGAACAAGGCAGAGACAGCCTTTGTCTATTTAAAATAATAAATTAAACGTACACTGGAAGTACAAAGTAGAATTTCGTGGTGGAATTAAATAAACAGAGTGTACTTTATGATAACACAGGAACATTCTGTGCGGCTGGGATGATGTGATGTCCGTTTTATTTGCGTGGTTTTGACTCACGCGCCGAGAACTTTGTGTCGTCAATATATTTATATTATTACGATTTATATGTCAGCGCGCCGCTCTTTCAGTTATGTCGGTATGAGGCATGAGCCCTTTCAAATTTTATAAGCTTCTTGGATACTTAATGGTCTGGTAGGATACATCCAGTACCTACCTAGAGTAGATAGTTCTAAATAGGTCTAGGTACCTACTAATTAGGTTATAATTATCAGCAGAACATAGGTATGCTACGCTACTATATTGAAACTGCATCTAGTACATTAGCCTAATTCGGCATAATGGCAATTATGAATATTGCTGCTTGGATTATAGGTAAGGCAGCAACACAGCTTTATTCATGCAAATTGAGTGATTCAGTTTGTAAAGAAAGACGGAAAACAACTGTGTAGGTACTTACCTATACATACTTTTTGAAACTTTACAGTTATTAATTCATTAAATCTGAAAAGATTTCTTTAGCGCGGCTTTAGCTTCTGCTTG